TTTTGTATTTTTAGTAGAGATGGGGTTTCACCGTGTTGACCAGGATGGTCTCGATCTCTTGACCTCGTGATCCACCCGCCTCGGCCTCCCAAAGTGCTGGGATTACAGGCGTGAGCCACCGCGCCCGGCCTCTTTTCTTGTTTTTTAAGGCCACCAGCTGGGATCAGACACCAGGGGCAGCAGAGCTTGCAGCTGCCACAGCTTAGGCCCCTGGCCGGTGGGCTATGATTTCATATGGACTGATATTTGCACGAATTCCTATGTTCCTGATTGAGGCCAATATAACACATAGAGTGGAACAGACTACTCAGAAGCAGAGACCTATTTTGTGAGAATTAAGCTCATAAATATGGTTTCTTTGTATGCCAGAATTTGAATTACTAAAGACAAAGTAGTTTATCCAACTAAAAGAAGTCCTACCACTTGTCTGCCAATCAGAAGATGAAGGGAAACATAGGTCAGATCTACTGATAAATAACTAGCTTTTTTTTTTTTTTTTTTTCCCAGAGACAAGTCTCACTCTGTCACCTAGGTTGGAGTGCAGTGATCTCGGCTCACTGCAACCTCCACCTCCTGGGTTCAAGCAATTCTCCTGCCTCAACCTCCCCAGTAGCTGGGATTACAGGCACCTGCCACCACACCCAGCTAATTTTTATGCTTTTAGTAAAGATGGGGTTTCATCATGTTAGCCATGTTGGTTTTGAACTCCTGACCTCAACTGATCTGCCCACGTCAGCCTCCCAAAGTGCTGAGATTACAGGTGTGAGCCACCGCACCTGGCCTCATTTGTCATAAAATCGCCTTAAGCAAACTGACAGGCAGCTTGCTAAAATTTTGTAGAAGATGAACTGTCAGAAAAACCTCAGGTTTGACAAACTTAGAGCACATTTTGGTTGTACTTGGCTTCAAAGAAGGAGGGCAAGAAGGGGAAAACTCAGTTATGATCACCTCTTCGCATTCGAAAGGCACAAGTACCCATCCAACCTCATAGTTCCGCAAATAAGAGCTGCACATAACATACGCTCAAAAGCAGTGTGGTAGCAGCTGCAGGCTTAGGCCTGTAGTCCCAGCGCTTTGGGAAGCCAAGCAAAGGAGAGAGGATCGCTTGAGGACAGGAGTTGGAGACCAGCCTGGGCAACACAGTGAGACCTTATCTCAACAAAAAATAGAACAATTAGCCTGGCGTGGGTGGCGTCGTGGGCTTTTGGTCTCAGCTACTCATGAGGCTGAGGCAGGAGGAATCGCTTGAGCCCAAGTCGAGGCTACAGTGAGCTGTGATTGTGCCATTGCACACCAGCCAGGGCTACACAGCAAGATCCTGTTTCAAAAAAAAAAAAAAAGTGTAGGAACCAGGAATCATAGTATAGTGATAAAATCCTGGATTCTATCTCTTCTGTCTCTAGAGGCCTCCAGGATCGAGCCAAAGCTTTGTCTGAACACTCAGTCTAACTAAAAATGTAGTGGAATATTCTACAATTTCTGATGGCCCTTGCGCTCTGGTACACAGGAGGGAAGTGTACAAGGAGAGGGTGAAGCCCTGCATTTTTTGTAGGCACTGCAATGCAGTGCAGGGAAGGAGAAAAGGATCCCACCCCACTTTTTTTTTTTTTTTTTTTTTCATGGACAGGGTCTCACTCTCTTGGCCAGCAATCTCAGCTCACTGCAACCTCTGCCTCCCAGGCTCAAGGGATTCTCCCACCTCAGCCTCCCGAGTAGCTGGCATTACAAGCGCACGTCACTACTGCCTGGCTAATTTTTTTTGTATTTTTAGTAGAGATGGAGTTTCACCAAGTTGGCCAGG